CTGCACCCCGCCACGGCCCAGGACCAGGACTCCCAGTATGTCCGATTCACCCTGGTACTCTCCGTGCCTCCCCAGGTAGGCCGTCGGCACCCCCTCGTTCCCCCTTCCCTGCCGACCCTGGGCGTCAGCATCCTTCCTTGTAGTGCTTTGGGTGTTTCTTAGTTTTGTTTTCGTTTGTTGTGTTGTTTTTTTTTTCCCTAGTATCCCAACAAAGCTCCGGAAATCTTGATCAGGAACCCACGAGGGCTGTCAGATGAGCAAATTCAAAAGTGAGTGCTGGGAGGGTGGGAAGAGGGTGATCCTTTCCTCCCGAGGTCCAGGAGGTAGAGTTGGTGGAAAAGCCTTCTTTCCAATTCACATGGCTCCCAAGTTAACAGATGGACATAAGTTCCTAAATCACCTTGTCTTAAATCTCGTGGGAGCTGCCGATGCTGAGTTTGACGCCCAGGGGTCTGCCCTATGGTTGTTTCCCTGTGGCCTCCATGAAATGTACCTAAATCCATCGGGTGTTGGAAGCCATTGGTGCTACTCTGAGAGAGGTAGGAGTGAACCAAGCCCTCAGGCAGCCTGTTGGTGCCTTTGTGCTCCTGTCCCTGGTGCAGTGGAGTGTGTGCAGAGAGACCCTGGTGCCTCCCGGCAGCACAGGCGTAACGTGGCTCCTACCAGAAATGCTCTGGACCTGCTGGCAGATAACCAAAGCCTGAGATTCACCAAAATGAAAGAGTATTGGCTGAGCTCGAGGTGATACAGTCAGCAGAGCTGTTCTTTCAAGTTCTCTGAGGCCGAAGGCTGCCTGTGCAGCTAGGGAGCTGGGAGAGCATCTTATATGTGTGCATGCATGTGCCCATCCTGTGCTATGCACAAACCCTGAAGACCAGTTCTCTATTTCTTCCTCCCGTCGTCACGGTGGGGTAACAGGTATGTGGGACAGTGCAAAGGTGTTGCAAAATTTGCATTAAGCGTTTGTGCTGCACTGCTGTAGGATTTCCCAGACCCTTGGAAGTGTTGCTGAAGCCAGGCTGGGGACAGAGGTGCTCTACGAACTGATTGAGGTGAGAGCTGGGGAGGGATTGGGGTTGACCAGCTACAGACACTGGTCCCTGACTGCTCAAGGGGTGGGTCAGCCCTGAGCCCATGGGCAGGCCAGTGAGTGAAATGTTTCCTTTATTGCTCCTGCAGAAGGGAAAGGAGATTCTTACTGACAACAACATTCCTCACGGCCAGTGTGTGATCTGCCTCTATGGATTCCAGGTAGGCATGTGTTTACCAGCCCTGCAAGCTGGCTGGGAAGTGAGACAAGAGAACAGAGGATCTGGGGCTAAAAGCTTAGGATGTTGGCCTGGGACTGGGGGTGTCTCAGGAGCCCCCTTCCCCCTGGTCTGTAGGTGATCCTATCAAGCATGAACCTTCCTAAGGTGATATATACTATTCTTCCCATCATCCTGAAGATAACCGTCTACAGAAACAGTGTATAGGGGCAGTGAGAGATGCTGGAGCATCTCCAGAGCAGTGGGTAGGGTCTGAGGACAGCTGCTGGTGCATCTCAGCTTCCCTGTGTTGGTCAAACCTCACCTGGAGTTCAGGACACAGGTGGTCAGGAGGGACTGGAACACATCTGTGCAGGTGCTGAGGCCTGCAGTGATGGGGGAGCTTTATGGAATCATAGAAGAGAATCATTAAGGTTAGAAACGACCTCTAAGATCATCAAGTCCAGCTGTCAACCCAACACCACCATGATTACTGAACCGTGTCCCAAACTGCCATGTCTTATGTTTTTTGAACACCTCCAGGGATGGTGACTCCACCACTTCCCTGGGCAACCTGTTCCAATGCTTCACCACTCTTCAGTAAAGAAGTTTTTCCTAATATCTGGTCTAAATCTCCCCCAGTATAACTCGTGGCCATTTCGTCTTGTCCTCTCACCAGTTACTTGGGAGAAGAGACCAACACTCACCTCACTACAGCCTCCTGTTCACATAGTTGTAGATGGGTGCAAGGAAAGTCAGTGCTTGTTTAGGAAGGAGAACACGTCAGATGGGAAGATTGCTGCTTACACAGAAAGGCATGCAGAGAAATGAGCCACCAAAATTTTGCATCTTGGCATTAGGAGTGTTTCTCACACTTGGAATGGGGAGCAGCATCCCAGAAGGAACCGAGGAAGTAGAGGTTAAGCCCAGCAGAAGATGATGTGTGTGGCAGCGCTCTGCCAGTGCTGATGTGGGACTGAAAACCCACCTCAGCTGGGGAAGCTACACAACCCTGTGCCAGAAACCCTTTCAACCTGCCCTTTCTCCTCTACAGGAGAGGGAAGCCTTCACAAAGACCCGGTGCTACCACTACTTCCACTCCCACTGCCTGGCCCGCTATGCTCAGCACATGGAGGAGGAGATCCTCATGCAGCAGGAGGAGAGAGAGCAACACCTGGCACCAACCCCCAAACAGGTACCAGGCCCTGGGCTCCCTCCCCTGGGCCCCTGTGATGTCTTTGTCACCCCCTTTTTGGGTCATGGGGCAAGGGCCAGCTTGAGCCGGCAGCACGGTCAGTGTCATGCTCGCACTGAAAATCAGAGCGGGGATTAGATCAAGTGATCTCCACGGGCCCTTTCCCAGCAAGATCACCCTGTGAATTTTTAGCACTTTTGCAGTTGGCAGTGCCTGCCGTGTGGGTGGGCAGGGGAGCTGCATTTTTGGAACCGCAGGAATTAGAGGTCCTTCCCTAGTCCTTGAACTGCAGGGATTTGCAGCAAGATAAATACGATCACCTGCATTCTGGAGTGATAAAACCTGCCTGAGCAGTTGTTGGAACAGTTGTCAGCCACAAAGCAAACAGCGCAGCTGAGTGTGAAACAAGTCAAAGTCTCCTTCCTGCAAAACTCTTTCAAAGAGATGCTGCCTAGATGACACACTCCACTTTGGAGTGAAGAAAAGTAGATCCTGGCCTAGGGAGAACTGAAGCTCTGTGTGCTGACAGAGGCGGTTTGTACAGTGGTCAGCCATGGGAACACAAATCCCAGCACACCTCGTGGTAAAGATGCCTTCCTTAGCAGTCATTGAGACACCAGGCTGCTTTCATGCTGCTGGGACCCCCCTGAGGTTCCCTGTGTGGCAGAAGAACGAAGAAAGCCACCGTGTTCTACTTCCAGGCCAGGGCTAACTGGCAGCGCGTGAGCTGGGTCGCGGTCGCGCTTTGGTATCGCCTCTTGCCTCCCCGCAGGAGCTCGGTGTGCAGTGCCCTGTCTGCCGGGAGACCCTGGTCTACGATCTCTCCGCTCTGAAGGCGGCACCGCCCCCACAACACCCACTGGTAAGAGATGGGGGCTCACCTCCTCAGCTGCGCCCACTCGCTGGGCAGCTTCAACTGGGCCCTTCCAATGAATGAAAGAATGAATGAATGCACACTCTCAGGTCCTTCTAGATGGCCCAGACAAAGGGCAGTTCACAAAACCTAGCAGAGGTGTCTCCTGACTCTCTGATGTGCTCGCAAAGAGCGGGTTTAGTTGTACAGCCCTGAGTCTTGAGCAGATGTGCTGGGGTGGGGGGTGATTCTGCCATGGGGCATGTCCCTGAACTCACTGGGATATAATCAGGGTCAGAAGAGTGACCTGATGGTAGCTGCTCTGCATCTTGCCCTGCAGCAGGATGTCCCGAGGCAGTTGCTGCAGGAACAGTGGGTCTGCCCTGGCATGCTCTCCCTCTGTCTAGGGAGTTCACGTGCTTCCATACACCTGATTAAACGTGGCAAAGGGAAGCAGTGTGCAGTCAAAGGAGGGTTTGGGGAGTAGCTCTTAGCACTGCTGGGTGTTGAGAGAGCCCTTACCCTGCCTTGCTTTGTGCCTCTCAGGAGCCGTACAGGCCGGATGCCAAGACCCTGCAGCACCAGGAAGAACTGCGTTTAATTTTCAAGAGGCAGCAAGAGAAAGGGGGCATCATTGACCCTGAAGCAGAGAGGAACCGTTACTTCATCAGCCTCCAGGCGGTATGGCACCGGGGGCGTACAGCTGGCGAGGGGGGCCCTGGACTGCAGGACCGAGCATTGTTGTCTGCTGTGGGACTCCCCTGTCCCTTTCTTCACTGGTGCCTTTTTTCTTTCAGCCTCCAGCTGCTGTCGATCCAGGCCAAG